TATGACGGCGCTCATCAAACTGGCTAATAATTAACATTAAGAGGACAATCCATTTCACCTCATTTTATTCAAAATGATCACTCAACAAGACAGAGAGACAGATGGATAATTAAATTGTCAAGCAGATGGCAAGTCCCTCTTGGATACCTGATAATTTCACCATTTTGACCCCCTCTCAAGCCTGTGGACAAAATCTTGTCATTTCATCAGAGGAATATGGAATCCAGTTCCCCATACTCTCAGTTTCCCATCACCCATAAATTCATTGATTCAGAGACAGTTTGTTACGTCTGTTTCTCTGCAAAGCTGACAGGCCGCAAGAGCCAGCGCTGTCTGATGTGACTGAAATTGGTCAAAGGCTCGGAAAAATGTCACAGATGCCAGAGGCAGGTCTTGGTCCTAATAAAGAGGGATGGGGGAGTGCAGCTAGGACAACCCTCTCCATTGCGAGTAAATCACTCGCATATGCGACTAAATCTTCACTCTGGGCGACTAAATGACATCTAATATTAGCCAATAGCTAATAAATTAGCTGTGTGAGTTGGAGGCTAAGTATAAGTTTAGCTCCGATATATTTTCACTCACAGAACACTCTCTGGCTGAGCGCATCAGTTTCACTCTTCGCCAAGCGATCTGTGCTGTTTTTCAGTTCATCTGAATGGATGTGCAACGCACCTGTATTTATCGTACCGTAAACTCTAGTGTGAAGGCGCACGACGAGACGAGAGGGAGAGAGAGAATTAACGCGCTACCTATGCGCGCTACATGCAAACAATATACTTTGTTGTATTTTGCTGTCAAAATAATGGAGTTCCTTTGGAATTCTTCAGCTTTTAAGATCTACCGCTTTCTCCGGTAGTAGGCGGAACTAATGCGCAAACGGCAATCTCATTGGCTGGTGCTCACCTATTATCGTCCCTGTTTTGATTTCAGCAAATCAGTTCGAGCGAACGCACACAACCTGATTAATATTCATGAATCCAGTAGCTCATTAATCCTTGGTGCGTTTTATATTGTTGTTATTAGTAGAATTAGTATCATTGTTATCTTATCAGTATTTTTTGTTAGGTTTTCCCCAATTTTTTTTTTTTTTACAGATACACTGAATGACCAAAAAAGCACCACCACCAGTCCGAAGTTCAGTTA